TAAATCTTATTAATACGTCTTTAAGACGCTTTAATTATAAAAACAAAAACGAATTAATTAATAGGCTTCTCTCTACGTTATAATAAAAACTAGCTAGAATTAAAAGTCTTTTAAATTCTATTCTAACTACTATTAAGATAGCTTATAAAGATAATATAGATTATATATATAGAAAATATAATCCTAATAGTAAATACTCTATTATATTAAATAATCTAAGTATAAATAAGAGTTTCTTAAATACTAATTCTCGAAAAGAAGTATCTACAAAAAAAGCAATATTTAAAAATTTAATAACTATCGCAATATAAGAAACTCACTTAAATATAATATATTCTTCGAGATTTAAAGAATCTTAACCTTTAATAAGAGGGAGTTTAAGCGAGATACTTATTTAATATACTTATAACGTAGCTAATAAGCGACTTAATTCTATTACTAAAACTACTAATTATAAATAACTCGTTTTATATCTAATTATCGAAGTATTAATAATTAGCGAAATAATATATAATATAAGTAATAAGTCTATTTATAAATTTATAAAGGTATTTTAATAAGAGAACGCTCTTATTAAATAGTATAAAGTTAATAAGATATTAAATAAGCGAACGCGAAGCGCTAATAATTAAATTTGAGATAGCTAGAGACTATTAAAATATAATAATAAATTATATATTTTCGAAGAAAGCTTAATTTAAGAAGAGCTATTAAAACGCTATTATAATGATTTTATAGCTAGATATTTTAATATTAATAAGATATTTAAGCTAATAAGTAAAAAATATTACTAAAATAGTATTCGCGTAGATATTAAAAAGTATATTAATATATATAATATCTATTAGCGTATAAAGATAAAATGCTATTATTTCTATAATAAACTAGATACGCTCCCTTTACTAACGAAATTATAAAAGAAAATTATAATAGACTTTATTATAAATCTTTTTTCTAGTAAATATAAAGATTATATTTATAACTTAATTCTTATAATAATTAATCGATATATTAAAATATTAAGATATATATTTATTAATAAGACAATTAACGCTATATAACTAAAAGAGTTATTTATAAAGAAAATTATTCTCTAATATAAAGTATTAGAAGATATCGTTATAAATCGAGAATTTATTTTTATAAATACGTTTTAATTAAAAATCTATTATTAATTATATATAAAATGTAGATTAAATATTATCTTTTATTTATAAATTAATAAATAGACGAAGCGATAAAATTAGACTCTAAAATATTATTTAAGAATATATTATTTAAAGCGATAAGACAATTAGATAGAGCTTCTATTAATCGTGAAATTTATGTATTATTAAAGCGAGTATAAAATAATTAATTATAATCTATTCTTCGCTATATATAGATATTAATTTAAACTTAAATTAGCCGCTAAGGGTAGTATTATCGAGAGAGAAATATCTATAGCGAAAAAATGTATTAAAAAAATTAATATAATTTAATAAGAGCTTATAAGACGCTAGTAAAGTATATAAAAAACGTAGTTAAAGTCTTATAATAAGAATTATAAATCGTAAAGATTTAATTACGATAATCTTATTATACTTTTTATAAAGAATTTAAAGTAAAAGAGATTAAGTAAAAAGCTTTCTAATAAGCTAATTAGTTTATTTTATACTTAGAAATATATTAAAATATAAGCGTATCGGCTATAACTATTACTTATCTATCGAATTTATTCTATTTTTTATATATTATTATTAGAACTATATAAATAAAGGCTAGAAAATCTAGATATCTTTAAATATTCTATTTCTAAATTAATAAAAGATAATAAAGAGTATTTAATAGAATTTATATATAAAAAGTATATAAGAAAGAGTAAGATAAAATATCTTATTCGATAAAAAGATTATTTTAAAGAGTATAATAAATAACTTAGTAAAGAAGCTATAGAAAATATATAAGATTTAATTAACGAGTTTAATAAGTAGAACTTATAGATATAAAAAGTATAAGACACAAATATCGAAAAAGGGCTTAAAGATCAACGATTTCAAAAAAAAATTTATAAATAAAGAACTTAGCTATAAGAAGTCGAATTTCGAATATTATAATAAAAAATAATATTAAAAGAGCTAATAAAAAGTATTAATATTCGAAGATAATAAAGAAAAGACTATATTATTAGAAATAATAGATATCGTAGTATAAGATATATATAGATAAAATGGCGGGCTAGTTAAACCTCTTAAAATTTTTATTAAAGCTATTATTATTAGCGTCGTTATTACTAAAATTACCCCTTAAACCGCTCTTATAAGCGAACCCCATTTTATTATTTATCTTATTATTCTCCTTATCTTTCTCCTCTTCTTCTTTCTCTTTATTCTTCTCTTTCTCTTTATCTTTACTATTATTTATCTTATTTCTATTATTATTACTTTTAAAGTTTAAGCTTAATTTAAAAAGCGCGAAAAATATATTTATTAATAGAAAGTTAATTTAAAGTATAGTTAATATAAATATAAAGAATAAAAAATAAATATAAAAAGTATAGATATATATAGTAAAGCGTATTACGTCGTAAATATCTATAAAAATATCGAGGATTTTTCGAAGAGTCTTCGCTTTATTAAGCGAAGCCGCTTTTATATTTAACTTCTTTTTTATTTTTAATTAATTTTTAATATATTAAATAGTTATTAAGATTATATTAAAGTATTTATAAATAATTTTAAATCGCGTAGTAAATATAAAATCGAGGGCGCTAGAAATAAAAAGATGATAAATGATATAAGTATATTATAAGCGAACGCGAATCACAGCATTAACGCCGATAATAGTATGTTTATTCGTCGAGATCTTTTAAGCAAATTAGTAGACGCTATAGATATATCTATTACGCGTTATTTATACGAAAACTTATTATAATATAATCGCCTTAAAGGCGAGCGTAATAATAATACTTAATAATTATATTATTACTATTATTAAATATAATATTATATAAGCGAGGAGTATACTTAAAGACTTATTATGTATAGCGATAATAGATATTCTTATTTAATATTAAAAGGAATCTAACGCTATGAAGAGCGAGTATTATAAATTGCGATTATTAATATATAAGAAATATATATATAATTATAGAGTCTTTAGAAAATTTATAACGATAGTTATAACGTCTATAAAATCTATTAATTAAATATATATTTATTATATATTTATTATAGAGAGCGTAAATTATTAAGAATAATAAAGAAGTATTAATAAAATAAAAAACTTTTTAAAGAAAAAGTAAATATTATTATAATCGTATATTAATTATACGCGTTACGCACTCAAATTATAATATTAATAGTTACTCTATATATTATTATAACTATATCTAATCTATAAAAATATATCTAATATTATCTATTAACGTTATATACTTTTATTATATATTTATAATATATTATATTTCCGCTATACTATTATAAAAAACTCTTTCTCTTCTTTTTTTATAAAATTTAAAGAGTTTTAATAAATCTTCTAATAATAAGAAAATATTCTTTTTATACTTAGATTTAAGAATAAATCTTTAAAGAAAAAAGATAATTATTAAAAAAGAGGCTTAAGAGTCTTAAATAAGAGAACTCTAAATTACTTAATTTATATACATCTAATATACACTTAGCGATATCTTAATAAAGTCTTAGCGAATAAGCTTAAGTAAGCGATCTCCTTCGAATTTCCTTTACTTTCTTAAGAATTAGTTTTACTATTAGATTGATATACGAATATATCTATCTTTCTAATTTCACATTACTATATAACTCTAAGACTCTTCGAGTCTAATATAATTAGCTAAGCTTATACGACTAATAATTCTTTATAATACTTTATAAAAGATATATTCTTTAGATTTATATATACCTTCGAGTGCTTTAATTATATTATATATATTATAAATATCTACGATATAAGTATAATTATCTAACTTAAGAGATATACGTATATTATCTTTAATTTATAAGTTAGCGAACTCTTATTTATTATACTCTTTATTCTCTTATAATTAAATTAGTATTTTAGCGAGAATTAAGTATATTTTAGCTATCTAATAGTAATTATATATTATTTAATATTAGCGATCTTAATTAAATACTTTCTTAAGTATAGAAATATTAACTATTAATAAGAGTATAGCGAATTTAAAGATCTTCTTAAGTCGTAATTATTTAGACTTTATCTAATTTATCTTCTAGATTTATAAATCGTATAATTTCTATAACTTCTCTAATATAGATATAATAGACTATTAGCTTTTATCGTCTTATTATTCTAATTTATCTATTATAACTAGAAGAACGTATATATATAATTTTTTTAAAATTTAATATAATTAAAATGTTAATATATTATTAGCATTAATCGAGGGCTTATAACCTCTTAGCGTAGCACAGTAGTGGTAATAATAGAAAGCGTATAGATTTAGTGGTGGGGTTATTAGCCATTATATAGCTGATGGAGAATAAAGCACTGCTATCTATGGCTAGCTACATGAAAGGAACAATAATAGAATATGTATGGAAGGATGTAGAAGGGACGCATGCATAGAACATAGAAGGAACTAGACACGCTGACATTAGCAATTGATCCTACTAATGCAATGAAATTAATAGGCTATACTTAAAAATATATGCTGGGGCGTGTCCTTCTCAGTACTGAAAAGCTTGCCGAGTACTGGTTTTTATCTATTTTTAGGCTGTAGAATATAGCTAGGTAATGGTTCTCACGACAGTATAGCGTGTTTTTTAATCAGATAAACCATTTGGCCGTAACAGTGGAGCAAAAGTCATGCATACAAGGGCAAACTACCTCAACCAGGTTCCCTATATGAAGAGCAAACTCATCCTATATGATACCCACGAAAGTGTACAAATGTAAGGTGAGAATCTATGCAACAAGTGGTTGGAGAAAAGGCCAGAGAAGGAATAGACCAGCAAGGGAGATAATGATTATTCTTCGAGCATCTAAATGACCTCATCAGAAATTTTCACGTCCATGTTCACCCCCCTCATCACACTGCCTGTTCCTCCACCCCCCCCCTTCCTCCGCTCCTCCCCTCTTCCCCCACATACCGCTCTTACATGCTGCATGATCTTCTCAGCCGCCTGCACGGGTGTAATTTCCGTAACATCCAAGACCAGCTGCTTGGAACATTGGAACCTGTAAACGTCCCCACGCTCCCGGAACAGTTTCAGCACATCAGTATCTACCAGCATGCCGTTGCCACCCTCTAACGCTCCTAGACGCTCTAGTGATCGCAACCTTCGTTCGTTCTCCGCGACTTGACATGTAAGTATGACAGGGATAAAAGCGCAGCCTCGTTTCTTAGCCGCGGCCTCGTACTCTGAGGCTACCGATATGCCTTCTTCGTTGGCGGTCTGGAAATCGGTGAAGACATAACTAGGGTGAGTTAGGTTTTATCATTCGGCTAAAGAGGGGGACAAGCTTTTATATAAGGGAGAATGTTGGGTAAGTACACACAAATGGTCGAAAGAATCCGGAGATGTGGCGAGAGTGTTGAAGAGGGCGGAGCGCAGTTGATGACGCAGCTCAAGGTAGTCGGCACTCGTCCGTGGAAGGATCGCCCCAGCAAGGTCGATGTGGAGGTGGTTGCGAACCTGTGGTAGGCTGTGAGAAATTTGGGGCGTGCATATTGAGACGTCCAGAGAAGAGGATCTCTATCTACGAAAGCAAAATCTCCCAAGCAGCAGACGAGGGCATATTGAGCATTATGATATAAGATCCCTCTGGTGAATGACTAGAAACCTGGAATGGGTGACAAAGAACGAAACAAGGCTCACAACGCGAACTTTTCCCTCCATCTGTTTTTCGAGTTCTCTCGCAACGGTGTATTTGCCTGCGCCAGGCCAGCTGTTGATGTATATTATTGGAAGAGCCATCATGGCCAGATCGACTCGCTGTTCTCACTGTTTGGAAGATGGAGGCATTGTAACACTTTCAGCCCTATGAAAATTGAGAGATTGAGTGACGCAAGCTATGTTGTAGGTGCGACACAGAGATGGAAGTCCATTCCCTCTGCTCTATCCTCGTCGTCATAACAACAATCATACTATCACTGCCATCATCATCATCATCATCATCATCATTATCTGTATTATGATCATTGCTATCATCATTACTATCATCATCGTCGTCTACTTGATACCTCCAGTTGTCAAAGTCAGGCAGCTACCTCCGCAATCTCAAGGAGCAAACTTCATACGCTTCATGCATGGAATAATAGCCATGTCGCGGAAATCATCATGCTTCATGATCCAAGCCAAAAACCGCTCCATTCCCATCCCCCACCCTGCTGTTTGCAAGTATTTGCCGCTCTTCTGCTCATCCCGAATATCCAAGTACCACTCGTATTTATCCTGGCGCACTTGATGCATTGTGAGAGCCTCCCTCACTTCAGTAGCTTCTGCATGACGTTGACCAAGTCCTAATATCTCACCCGGCCCCAACAAAAGATCCGCACAAAGCGCTTTCGCATTGTTAGTGTGGGGGACAAAGGCCTGGTAGAAAGGTACGCTGAGGTGGTCCATTTCGGTAAGCCAGACAGCGCCGCCGAAGTGCTTAATCAAGATTCGCTCGCCCGTGCGTGTAAGAGCGCGGCCTTTGCTGTGATCGGTCGGGACAGCATATTCCCACGCGTGAGCGGTATTGACCATTTCTTGGAGCGACAAGGCATCAGCAAGACTGATGCGCGGAAGATGGCCACCGTTGTTGGTGGCTAGGGAGAGAAGATCATCGATATGAGAAGTGTTACCGGCGACGGCGCGGATAATGTCGACGTTTTTCGCTAAGATAGCGCGAGTGACCGCGATGATGTAGCGTTCTGCCACCTCGATACCGTCGTTCAAGGTTCCAAGCATCTCGCACTCAGCGTGATAGAACTGATTCAGATGCATGTGGTCAGTATCTTCACCACGAAATGAACAACCAACATAGTAGGCCCCTTTGAGCCCATCCTCAATCCGAAGAACGTATTCGAGAGTGAACTGCATGGAATCAGCAAGGAAAGTGTCCTGACCAGAGAGGGCTACATGCACGGGCTGGGAGTCCGATCCGAGACCCATGGGTGAGCTGATGGAATCTGTGGTTACAGGGACTAAGGTGTACTTGTATCCTAATTGACTCTGGAAGAAATTTATTGTCGCATGGAAAAGAGTGTCTTGGAGGGCGAACACAGCGGTGTACCAAGGACTCTGCAGAGCTTCCATGGAGTGCGTACTAGGTTGCTGCCATGTTTTGGGTGCCACAATTCGATTTCGTTGGACGTGAAGCTCACGCAATTGCTTCGCGTGGACGCCGATCGATTTGAGGTCAGACGCAGGCGGGCCAAACTGCGTCGTGAGGAATCCTTGGTAAATGTTTTCAAAAGATGTAGGCGCAGCTATGGGGTTGAAAAGGTGCCCCTGGGATGTGAATTGATCATGCACTGGGATCAATTTTACGTGGGCATAGTTAATCTCGTAGCCTTCGAAGAAAATACCGCAGCGCTTGACGCCAAAGGCTTCCTTCAGGTACTGAGCGACCTTGTAAGCAACTTTAACAATGTTTTTATAATCCTCATCTTCGAGTCCAAAGATATCGCTGCCGAGATGCTTGCGTGGAACAAGTACTGTGAATCCGGGGGTATTGCCATATGGCGTCAGGAAGGCAACATAGGCTTCATTTTCCCAGATACGCCATTGACGTACCTCTCCCCGGATGATTCGGGCAAAGATGTTCTGGTTTGATGCTTCACCATCGAAATAATTGTTGAAAGGCTCTGCAATGCCCGTGGTAGCGGCAATACGAAAGCGCATTTCCTCAAGAAAAGCGTCTGCCATCTTTGGCCCATTCTTTGATGTAAGGTAGCCGGGATATAAGGCATTATATTCCTCTTGGTTGTGGACGATTGCAGTCCAGTCTTTGCTAATGCCATGTAGAGGGATTAGAGAGAGAGCACCGCTACCGTCACAAGTCATGCCACAGCGGTGAGTAGACAAACCAGAATTCAGTGTTGCAGAGACCTGACGCACAGTATGCATGACCTTCAAGAATGTGGGTAGAGATAGTGACATTAGTTCGCCAACTCCACGGCAAATGACAACAGCATGGGAAGGAGTTATTGGATAGCGAGTCAATCCAGCAATTATAAGGGCATCTTGATGAATAACATGTTGCGAAAGGACATGGAGGGTGGTTGGCAGGATCGATGACTTCAAAGAAGATGCGGTACAAGACGCGGTCGGAAAGACGCGCCCACTTGATTCGACGACAATATGACCCATAGAATTGAGAGCAAGGATGGCGCATGCGGAAGGCGCTTTCTCAGCTTTCTTGAGGATGACTTGGGCCATAGTCTCACTGAGTGATTCGGTGCCTGGCAAGGCGGCAACCTTGCCAGCAACAGAGTGACGCAGAATGTCTTCTCCAGCACCGCTGCTGTAGACAGATGTCAGCAAGCTTAGTCCACGAACATTGACTAGAAGTTCCGGGGACTCACCAAATAACAGCTACATTCTGGTCCACAGACAGACCTGCTCCGATGATAGCCGTGTCTCCGACCCTTCCTTTCATCTTACAAGTCAGTCCTCCAGTAGAGCTAGCAGCTGCGAGGTTCCCATGGAGATCAAGTGCAACGGCCCCGACTGTCTCAAGATCCTCAGGAGGGCCGAGTGTTTTGCGGGCTCGGGCTTCCCAGCGAGCCTTCTTCGTAGCGGTGGTGAAGTAGTCATTCGATGCCATAGTGACTCCCGACTTGCGAGCAAATTCATCTGCTGCAGGGCCTACAAGAAAGGAATGTCGTCCTTGTTCCATTACTGCACGAGCAGCCTCAATAGGATTCCTGATGTTTCGTGTAGCCGCTACGGCGCCGTAGGCTCCCGAGGTCCCATCCGCGATTGCGGCCTCCAGCTAGTAGGGCGATAGTATCAGCGACTGCTATGACTTGAAGGGCAGCAAGAACCTGAAGAATCTGAAGGCACCTCATGTTCACTATCCTTATTAAGTACGGCTCCTTTGCCGGCATTGAATAAAGGGCAATCTTCGAGAGACGTCACGACCGCTTGGACAACATCAATAGCTTTTGCACCGGAGGAAAGCTTTGCCCCAGCTGTCTCAGCGATAGTCTTGAGTATCTTTTCGACCTCTTGCTGATGCACTGCGTCGTTGTTCCAGGTATCGCTTGTCCCAGCGTGGAGGGCCACAGCGAACTTCGCAGTGGCCATTGTGATAAAAGATGCAAGTATTGAGCCGTCCTTATGATTTTGCGGTAGGATGAAGCGAGGAAATCGCTGTGGATTAGCCTGAGGGCGAGAGGAGAGCTGGTACTGGAAGCTTGTGGATAACACAATACTCACGGAGGAGCTTGTCGTAGCTGCTAAGCTCACAGATTTGTAAGCCATACTCAGCCTTGTGGTTATGTCCAATTAAAAGCTTCAAGTTGCACAAACCATCCATAATGAGATGCAAGAGCGAAGAAATACTTGTAGGATAAGGGTTTCACGACTGAGCAATTTCTCAAACGACACACCACGCTTTGTATCTGGAGACGGTACCATCTGGTCCGCATTTCCTCTCGCATATCCAACGGACTGTCAACACACTCTAATCCTTTGGCTTGCTAGCGACTGGTCATGTGTGGTCCTTTATTAGAGTATCGACCTCTTCAAGGAAAGCTGATCTCTACTGTTCTGCTTCAAATGAGATCAAAAAACGTGGCAGGGCATGATCTTATCTCACACGCGAGTGTGGTACAATATGGCGATGGTTTAAGCGTCTCCTCGACTGAGTTTCCATCCTGGGTCCTTGCGTTTTTGGCTTCCCGTCTCGTCGAACAATAAGTGGGTTTGGCATTATATATCCTGAGGGCTTCTTCAGCCTGGCCGCGACAACTCTTCTCTCTTGTGCTACTGAGACAATTTCTGCAGGGTAGTTGCCTGTCGCAAGGAATGCTGACACCGTGACGACGCCCGTATCGCACGCGACCCAGGCAGTCGTCAAACACATCTTTGGGCTTTGACGGGGTATGATAGTGGCGCTCTGTGAGCCCATAGTCGCCCTGATGTTTGCATTTGGTCACAATCTCCAGCATGCAATTTCCGCAAGGCGCTGCTCCGCCACCTATGAGTCGTTGAAAGCTGCAGTTCATGCATTTTTTCCCGCCTTGCATGGGCTGGTCCTTGTAGTACAAGCGTTTGCGGTTGATGCATCCATTGCATTTCTCTTCACCGTTGCACATGGAATATCTTCTGCTACAGGGTCAGCATCTATCTTCCAATGGAATACGCTTCATGGACTTTGGCTAAGAGCCCTGAGAGCAGCACCATTTGACTCTGGACTTGATGCAGCTCTCGCGTGGACTTTTGCCATCGGACCAGTAAACGCTTTTGAAACAAGCATGATATTTGTCAGTGGGATCTTGGACACGGCGCAACTATCCCTTCTCTTGGTATTCGCAGGCATGCTTCCGGGCCTGACAGCTCTCACACCTCGGCCGCCCCTGATCACATACCAGCCGATCTCGAATGCAGCAATGACAGTACGTTATAACTGGTGGCTGGTCATCCCGAGGAACACAAGCACTTCCCCTTTTGATACATGCAGTGCATTTTGGTTTGGTTTGATCACAGGCTCTGCGCCCTTTTAAACACGATTGACATTTCACTGATGGATCCTGTGGTGTTATCCTGGGTAAGGTTCTGGGCTTTGTAGAGGCTGCGCCCATCCCGCATTCACTGGAGCTCACGCATGCTCTTCGCCGTTTGCCGAAATCGTTCGCCTCCTCGGAGTCAGATTGCTCGTCTTTGTTTCCATGACTGTCATGATGCCCCTTTCCAGTAAGTATCGCTGTGTCATTGTTCGCTGGTTTCCAGGGGAGCCTTGAGGTAACCTCTGAAGATTCATCAGACGAGTCATCACTTCCGCTGGAGGAGACGTGGCTTTGCGCTGGACTTGAGCCTTCTCTAGTGTGGCGTACTTGCTCGCTATTATTCCTTGGTCTGGCGGGGTGGAAAACGGAAGAAGTAGCAGTGTTTTGACCATGCCTGAGAAGTCAGGTATGATTATCTGTGAAGGTTAGTTGAGTTTACTTAGTTAGGATTTTCGAGTCGAGCCCGTTAGGAATTAGAGCAAAATTATTGGGGTTCATTCCTTCTTTTGTTTGATGCGTGTTTTTGTATTTGTGCACAGATTCTGATTTAGAAAAGGAGGTTGGATTCTTCCTGCTCAACTGGAAAAACTATGTATCAAATTGGCGAAGACAAACACTGACTCAGGCTTGGAACACTGGACGACTAGCAGAGGCATAGCGTCTTTAGATCTAGTTTCTCTTTCTTATATCTTCGGTGCTGTTTCTGTTTCTGTTCAATTCAACGTCATATCGCTTACGGAAAGAAAAGACCCACTTCGTCCAAGCAAGTTCCGGTGGTCGGAATTATGTCCACCCTCTCGGTCAGTAATTAAAGCCTTCCAGTTGCCGCGATTCACACTTGCTGGCATTTCTTGAAATGTACGAGAAGGAGGTCGGAGTCATTTTCGTCGATCCTCGTAGGCAATACGTAATGTCCGCATTGCGAGATGCGTCTTTAAGCGCGCTTCTCTAATAGTCCAGGTGGCGCAAAGACGAATAACCGAATACGATAGTAGTCAAGTCACCGTCTGCGCATGAGGTATGGAGAAACCTGAAAGGCTTCCCTTCAGAGAAAAGAGTGTCAAGGATCCTGGCAAGGGTGTCGACCACCGAAAGAAGAAGGAACGACACTCCGCCAAAGTTGAAGAGGACAAACTTCAGGAAGAACTTGAAGAGGAGACGGAATTGTTTCGCGCTTGCGATGACAAAACTATCGAATTGAACGGACTCAAGAAGTTCTCAAAGAACTTCAAATTCGACAGACCCATATCTGAAGACCTATCGCCCGTGCTTGCAAAGGACGGGACAAGACAGCTTGAAGCGACATCAAAGGCAAGTGGCGAAAATGGACAAAAAAACGAACAGAGAGAGCCAAAGGGCTCGTGAAGGTTACTGTCACTCATCGGACGGGGCACCATCCGATAAAGAAGATTTTCACAGTAACCTAGATTGATCAGAGACTTGATGGCATTACCCTGGTTGCAGAGCCGGAGCTGCTTCCTCTTGAGAAATGAGCTCGTGAATTGTGGCGCCCGAGAGGGCCGCGATACGCAAGACACATCATGGAGGTCAATCATGATGAATATCATAATATGTGCGCGCAGTCATTACTCCGTAAAATAGTTGGTGATTAGCTTTTGACTACCTACCGAATTAATTGGCATATAAAAAACCACATCATTATAAGGCCCCTTTGCATATAAAATACCGTTCAAAATAACGGTTTTCAGACGTAGGCCATAATTAGACTGTAAGATAGGGGTCCTAGTAGCCTGCTGAGTAATAGTACTTTATTGTACTAGGCCCCCAGGGTAAAATCAGAAGTACCCTCACAGTAGCAAGGCAAGTAGAATAATGAGTGGTCGGAGTAGGTACAGGCCATTTGCGGTACACTACGCCCCCAAATCAGGTATTATTTTCCCGTCTAAAAAGAGCGTCTCTCCGAGCTCTCTGATTGGCGACAGCGAGCTTAATAAGGCCATTGACTAGCGCCTTAGGCCATACGATACCACAGTGTTAGGGCCCCTTCTGCAACCACATACTTTGAAAATAACCCCTAGATATTTCCACTAATTATCAGCTTAGCGTCAAATATATACAGGGTATCGTTCACCAGGTGTCGACAGAAGTCTGAACACCGAGGTCTACCCGGCTACTGGAGGCTTCCCACCACCACCACACCAAAACAATTAGATATTCTTCGTAATGGTCCACACCACACAATGAATACACCTCACACGCCTCCGCGTAATCCTCCCCCTGGCCATTCATGAAGCTACTACGCGTCGCAAGGCTAAATTCTTTGAGGCTATGGACTCCCTGGTGATGTAATGAAGGAATATGTATATTAGATTCTCAGCTTTCTCCAGGTAGCCGGGTAAACCTCGGTGTTCAGACTTCTGTCCACACCTGGTGGTTCTGTAACCATATTTCCACATATTTTCGCTTATTAAGCGAAAACAGGCTTGAAAATACCCTCGACATATTTTCGCTTAGTAAGCGAAAACAGGCTTGAAAATATCTGAAAACAACCCTCGAGGGTTGTTTTCAGTCAAAATAAGGCTAAGAACGCCAAGAATAGTGGACATCTATATGACCGATATACATATATTATTCTCTTTTTCTTAAGAATATCAAGTATGTTTGAGGTAATAATAGGAGTAATAGGAGTATCAATGATAGCCAAAGCCTGTGCAGCAGTAGCAGCAGGTATCTCGGCCATGGTGATGTGGAATGGTAGGAATTCAATGGTTTTTTACGGAGAAGACAATTTTTGCGACGATTCTGACTCAGCCTCAGAAACAGGGTTACAGAACGGAACCGTACACATATTCTACTTGTTTTGGAAATATTCATAGCGTTATTTTCAAGCCTTGTTTTCATTAGCCAAGTGGTGGCGTTATTTAGTGGAAATATGTAGGGGTTATTTCCAAAATATGTGGTTGCAGAAGGGGCCCTTATAAGGCCCCTTTACATATAAAATACGGTTCCAAACGATGATCAGATGGACGCTTCGGCTATATGGTAGTATCTTATATGCCAATTAATTCGCTAGTTCACTTTTATCCTCGTTCGAACGCAAGTTTTGGAGAAAGGTTTGCCAGGATCGAGCCAATGACACGCATTGGGAGTGCTGCATTGATTCTGCAAGCCCTGCATGGGCGGTACGGGCCCACCGAATCAGCGACGCACACATGGTCTGCACCCCTGCACCCCCACATGCCCTGCATAATTTAGCAGTCCTTATAATATTGGCGGGGTTTGACTTCGATTCCGAGTTCTGGCGCAAGGGCACACGAGGATTGCTTCCATGCTTCGAACTCGTCTTTTGGGGTTTGAGAAGGAGCCAAGGTAGGCTTAGTCGCTATAGGTGTCTGGCTGAATTGGACTGATGGTAAAGAGAGCAGGTGATACAGCAAACCCAAATTTCAGCCTTCCATTCCGAGCTTGTTGAACTCAACCGAAAATATGAGGAAATACTCAGCTGGCAAGCAGTGGGAAGATCTCAACAGGAAGCGACAGGAGGCGGAGAATGAGGAACTAGAAGCGCGAAGGACTGCAGCAAACCAAGCAGTGAGAGCCCAAGTTGCAGGTCTGCCTAGCTTGACATCGTGGAACGCCACTCTGTCGGTCGGTAGGCCGCAGTATTACCAAGACAGAGGATCGAGGTTTTATAGAAGCCAAAAGGATGCGACTGAGCTCGAAGCCCAAGACGATCCCCCACCCCAGTACCAGCAACAAGCCTCACTCACTCCTCCGGCCTCCGACGGGGACGCTCCCGAAGTGGACAACAACGAGCAAATCAGATACTTGCAAAGAGAGGTTGTACAAAAGGAAAGCAGAATCAAAAGGCTTGAGTCCGAGGTTGAAGTCGAGAAGGGCAAGAGACGGCGCCTACAAGCTGAGCGCCACGAAGCAGTAGACGCGCAACGGAGAGCAGAAGCCGAGCTCTGCCTGTTGAGAAGTCAAGTAGCAAACCTCGACCAGTTACTCGACGGTTCGATCAAAAGGCAGAAAGAGTTGGAAAGCGAACTAGATATCTGCAGACAAGAAGCCAGAGAGTTGAAGTGGCAATTGCACGAGGAGCGGTGCAGCCACGAAAGCGATATCAGGGCACAAGAGACGCGGGAGACGCAGATCAGGCACCGATTCGAGGATACAAATCGCGCGCCGGAGAATCAGATCGGAAGGGGTCGACGCCCCGACCCGGATGTGGGATCGATTCTGGAGGATACGGTACAAAGTGAGGATAGCCCGCAGCGCGATTTTGCTAGTCGTCAAGGACAATCTAACACCTTCTCAACAGATGCACCGAGCCGATCTCGAAGGCAAGATAGAGGCACGGCGGGAAGGGCGTACGTCAGTATACCGAAGAATGGGAACCGTCGCGCTGTGTGGATCTTTGGCTGAAAAGGGGGTAAAATTGTGGACCGCTTTCCCTCTTTGGATTTGATTCTGAACAATGTCTTCTTCCAACCTTAGGCGGGTTTGAGGCAATGGAGTTCACTGGGTAGGCGGTGTTTGCCACGCAATCCTACTTTGTCTGCAAGAGAAGTCAATCATAGATTGCAGATTCATGAGATCAATGATTAACGCCTCTTAACCCTGACTGACTGTCTTCATTCTCACCCCCTTTTTATCTTGTCACGTCAGCTCATGCAGCCCACCAAAACGCGCCTCCTCCAAAGGCCAACCCCGCGTAGCCTCCAGTTCCATCCGCGTATCACGCCCCATCAACTCCGTTCTCTCAACCCTGACCACCCCGGGTGCGAGCTTTGGCCTTCGTTGCTCTACCCGCTTACTTTTTGATCGTCGGAATACATAGAGTGAGCCGACAGCGCCCGAAGCTTCTATAGCGCCAGCGATCCCAATGATAGCTTTTTCGCTGGAACTGCTAGCCGTTGTTGCGTTCGGTGTTGGCGTTGGTGCACCTTTCGGGGTAGGCAGTTTGGACTGCGAAGGTAGATCTAGTGATTGAGATTGTGAGGGTATAGTGGTAAGCGTGGAAGAGCTCGATGTGCCTTTGGAAGCGAGTAACGTGCTTGTCGAAGGGTGGCTTGTCCTAGTTGGTTCCGAATAGCCCGCGTCTGCGTAGTCTGTGGGCCATGCCTCTGCTACCGTCGGTGTTGTCGCAGTATTATGATAGGTGATCTCTTTGACTCCATGATGATTGGAAAAGCATCTCTCGTTGCCGGGGTTTATACAATATGTCCCATCGCCGCAGCCGGTAGTGTTGGCCGCATAAGAGAACCAGTTCCGTACACAATGGTCTGTGTTACCATACCACAAGCAATGAGGGTTCGGTCTTCATCAAAGACAAAAGATAGCAGGAGGAAACAGTACCAGGAAGGAAAGGAAGTGGATAAGCGGGATCATTTCCGGTTTTATCGGTACAGCCTCCTACACTTTCAAATGTATCCCCCAATGCTTCTCCATGACAGTGAAGGTTCGTCACGCATATGACTCCCAGAAAGTAGCATGCGCTGACGTTGGCAAAGGGATCACAAGGAATTAGGGGTGTAAGGTTGCCATCAGCGTCGTAACAAGGCTTTAGTTGGGCAGAGCAATTTGAAGTGAAGGAAAGACTGGCAGGAGTAGGGAAGTACGCATTGCATCGAATTGGATAATACTGCGTTGAAGCTAACATGAGACGAAAGATGCAAAAGGGTGATTAGGTGATGCAGGAACCACGACAGATATTTGCGGCATCATCTGTTCAGATCAGCAGACAAACTAGGGTGTAGCATTGCAATGCAAATGGCTTCGCCGTCGACCGCAGCGCCGAGGCTATGGAGCTGATTACAGTACCATGATGCATAAATAGATGGAACGCTTGCTCTCAGGACCTGATGAACGAAATTGTGGAGTGAGAAAACTGATAGATCCGCCGGTTTCAAGACCTCTTTGCTACATGCTACATCAAAAACACCTCGGCTCTTCTTTTTCCGAAGGTAGCTCATACATGTATCCTTTTTCGATACATGTACACCCCCTAAGATCGGTGTAGTGCCGGAGTAATGAGTAGGTGAGGAATATGAGCACCTTGAGGAAGAGGTAGGAGATGGCTATCAAATACCGGTTTAATGAGCTCAAGAACCTCTTTCTTCCTCCGGAGAATAGTCTTGTGTTTATATCTCATCTGTCGTATATCACTTCTTTTTTTGGCAAATTATTTCTCAAGGACACCAATCTCTAGATACTTGTTGAGGCTTGAGGCATATTGTTTTCATGCATGATAGAGTTGCACTTTTTTGGATTAATCCTACCGGCAGCAGATCCGAAAACTTCAAGAGTATGAGTTGCTAAGTATTTGTCTTCATTGCAGATCAAAGTGGCTGTATTTTGAGATGGTTCTGAAGGCAACGACGGGGATTTTTTTTGCGGTGGTGTAAATGTATCGAAAAGGTGTGTACACGTATGGGATCCCTTTTCAAGATGAATCACTGCCTGATGTGTCTTAAGGGGGCGCTGATAGATTTACACTTCTTTCCTTATACATGTACACCGTCGGAGGGACTGTCGGAGCAAGCCCGAATTTCAAGTATCACTGACTTCGAGCTTGCGTGGAATGTGCCTGCATGAGCAGCAAGGAAAGAGGCATTAGAGAGGCTCTACACGCTCAATAAGATCAAAAGAGGATGCAAGATGCGATTCGCTTGTTCGAACGAAGAGCACCGTTTTCTTAGACAGAATTCATCAGGCTGATCGCCTGCATACGTTCAGGAGTCAGGATAAGAAACGTATATTACATTAGTACTAGCCGTAGTACTCTAATCATTACACTAGTGTTTCCAAAATTACGCCCAACTTGAAGCCACAAAACCCCGCCTCCAGACCAGAGTTCCTAGCACGCACGAGGTGCAAATATCCTTTGACCTGACAAGTTCGTTGTCTGCCAATGGATCATCTTCCCACCCCCAAAAACGCCGTTACCAATGAGAGGACAATTGTACCTTACGTCTGCCTAAAAGGTTACGATGGTGGATCATTTCTGACATATCCCATTAGAGAAGGCGTCACTCATGCATTGCCGTCAGATGGGAACGTTCCTGGTGGCTCCCCGTACAGGCAGCATGAACGGGTATATCCAACACCGAAGCAAGAGCAAGAGGACTTCCTCCAGAGATGGCTGTTTTTTGGACTGATTAACGAGATATTGGGCGACCGCTACCGGCCTGAGGACCTCGTATCTACCATCGAAACCGATGATGGCCAAAACCCCACTGTCTCGACCTTAGGACTTGTTGAAGCACTTGATAACTGGATTTCTGACATCCACGCCGGCTTCGTCAACCCTCGTCACACCTACGAGCACATTGCAGAATGCCTGCGCCTGGCTTTTGCTACGATCCATGGGGCCGGTCCAGACTTTGATCCGCGGATCAAGTTTTCACTTGCTTCGCTGGGAGAATTGTTCACGCTTGCTACAAATGAAGCTTACAACGTGACGGCCAATAAATGTCCGAGCGCGTTTGCTCGACTTATGGATCTGGAATACGCCTATTGGAAGATTCCGATGCTATCATCTGGGTGGTGCCCAAGTCAGGTGAGAGTAAATGTCGAGAATCATTGGTATCTACAAACTATGCACTTTCTTACGTTCCTCGGCCAGCCAGCATCGGATGGGTTTCATCGAAGGTGCAGCAATGATCAATGCTTAGCCTACCAGAATGAGCTGGCCACATATCAGACGAAACATCTCACTGGCTGTAATTGCGAGTATATCTCGATCGACACTAAGCGCTTAACTGAAATCTTGGAAAGCGGATCTTTGCCTCTATTGCGCATCCAGGAAAGCCATATATTGAACGAACTTTCAGTCGAATTAGTGCCATCACAGTCAACGACTCGCTACATTGCCTTATCCCATGTCTGGGCAGATGGATTGGGAAATCCCTACGAGAACGCACTACCTCGCTGCCAATTAGGTTTCTTGCATGAAACCATCAACAAATACTATGCAAAATTGTACCCTCAGGCAGTCGAGGAAATCTTGCTTTGGTGTGACACTCTTTGCTGCCCAGTAGAACCGGGAGAGGCGAAGAACATAGCTTTAGCACAGATGAAAAAGACCTATCTAGAGGCAACCCGCGTCCTTGTTCTCGACGCATCATTGCGCATGTACGATTTCAACTCAGTGGAAGCCGACGAGGCTTGTATAAGGATCCTCAACTCAGGGTGGACTCGTCGACTTTGGACTTTACAAGAAGGCGCACTCCCAGCAAAGAGTTTTCGACTCTCGTTCTTGTTCAAAGACGAAGCAATCAACATAAACTATCTCGTACATAAGATGTACCAGATCCTCGGATCAAGCGTTGGCAGAAAAGGACTTGCCAGTAACATTATCACCCAAATATTGAAATTCGCGAGGATCCCTAATGAAGTTGACGGCAATCGATGGGATCTTGGGGCCGTTGAGACTGGTCTCCAACACCGATCTGTCAGTGTTCCTTCAGATGAGCCGCTACTTATCGCACAGCTTCTAGACCTGGATGTAGCCTATGTACTCAATGGCCCATGTCCATTAGCGAATTGCGAGAACTTTGGCTGTGACCATTCTCGAACCCATCGCATGTGGTTGTTAATGCCTACCGCATTCCGAGGTATACCCAAGAACGTTCTCCTCCGCGTGGGCCCCAGGTTGAGTGAACCTGGCTTTAGATGGGCCCCATCGACACTGTTGTACAATGGCCCTCGAAACCACGCCTTATATCCTCGGACAATAACCAGGAACGAAGATACATCTACCACTGGTGGTCCCATGTTTGGGACTCAGGCTGTCATGTTCTCTACGCTACTACATCTATTCGCTGTGCTCGTGTCGAATCTTTTGAATCCTCTCGCACGTTCCTTCTACTGCATACGAGCCCGCTTGGAGACGTTTTGGTGGATACCCGCGATATCACGGACTCTCAAGCGTACGAATTTAGTAACAGAGAACGCAAGCTGGGGCGTACCTACCAATCGTGGCCTCTTAGTTCGCTTTACCGGCTACAGCTTTTCGATGGCGCATTGCCCACCGGGCATACCACCTAACGATTGGAATACGATTGAGCAAGGTTCGGTTTACTCGCGTGGCGTTGATGGGACATGGTACCACATTACTCGTAGCCTTCCCGCGGAACACGATCCTTTCCTCTCCACCAAATCGCTCAATGCGATCATTCAGGAGGAGAGCAACCTTTGGATCACGCACGTGGAGTCGGCCTTCAATAACCCTCAACTCGTAGCCGAAGCAAAGAATGAGCGACAGGTTACACATGGACTTCTGGTCCAGCTGCTATCTGACGAAGAAGACATCAAATATGTCCAAATTAAGCTACATGTCAGAATTGGAGTCGAACGAAAAACTACGCGAAACTTGCTCGAAGCAGCCTACCAGTCTGCTCGTCAGATTTCCCGGAATTCAT